GGTTCTGATAGTTAGAAAAAATAGTTCACAATTCAAAGGCATGGCTCCTTTTTACTGTAGTAGTTGTTTAAATTTTAAAAATTGACTTAAAAATTATTGTTTATAATAGAATGTTTGACTATAGTTACAATTACTTTTAATTAAAAATTTTAACAATGTTCTTGTATACTTCGTTTTTGATGGTTTTTATAGGATAATCTCACGTTTGTAAGTATATAATAAGCTTTTATAACTTATTATTCTAAGCATTTTTGTTATTTCTTATAGATGTCTTGAGAAAGGAAATAAACATTTCCGAAAGCTTGACAACAACACAGAGTGTTCTTATTACATTAGCCCTTAGCACTATTGACTGCAATCCCAAATACATCACTGGTTTTTTTCTTAACTAGTCAGTCAAGACTACCCTTCCTGCTCTAATTCTATATATATATATATTGTTGACTTATGAATGTTAAATTTGGATGAACGTTTACTTGGTCTTCAATTTAAATTCGAGAGAAACAAAATATCTTTGCGCCAAAACTTCTCCTTTATTTTGATGTACTTATAATATGTCGAATACGGTTTATTGTATCGATGTTGTATCTTTCACTTGAAAAATAAAAATAAAAAAGCAGGCCTGTAAATTTTTTTGGCAGCCAGTACTTTCCAGGACGTTTAACCATCAGGTCTCCAATAGCTACCAATTGAAGACATTAGTAAAAACTACTATAGGTACTAATAACATAACTTTTACCTAAAAATTATCAAAATTTCATGAAAAACAAATAAGTTGTAACGAAAAATCAATTTTCAACTCTAAGCTTCAAAATATAATAACTACAGAAGTTATGATTTGTGAGGTTATTATTTTTTTGAGTTCTATCCAAATCCTAGAGATTGCCCACCAATTCGTGGACTCCCATAAAACTAGAATTTAAAGAAGAAAGCTATAAAAATTATTTAATTGTGTTGTATGAAAAGTTGTTGAATATATTTTTTTAAGATTTACCCTGAAAACTAAGACCAAGACCCTTATTTCGACAATTTCTCTCGGTTTTACAATATCCTAAATGGCAATTGTAAGTAGTTTTTATAAAAGTACACTTTACAAGTTTTATAAATTGTTCTGCTGTAACTAGAACTCCTGCAATAAATTTATTTTCTGGAATTTCGCTGAACAACGAATTACAACTGCATTAGAATCTCGAAAAGTGCACTTTGCAATTGCAGCACTAAAACAAATAAAACGCCAGCAATTGTTATCTTCGAATTCCCCGAAACTTCCTTAATATCAGTAATGCCGCTCCTTTGATCTAATGCACAACGTGAAGGCAGAGACATTCTGTTCCTCTCCATTTTTAGCCATTTCGTTTCGAGGGTCTTTCAAAGCTGTATCTGAATGCTCCTATTTTTCACAATCAAGCGCATTTCATCTGCGTTCTTTACCGTTCTCGTCGTTTATACTAATTAAAATTCATTTTCTGATTCGTGTAAATAAGAGCCATTGTGATTTTAGGAAGCAATTGATTATCGGGCAACTGATACCAACAGCTAGAGGTCACAAATGTATAAAAGATATTACATTTTTCAAGTGAAACATTTTCTATGAACCTGGAACTGTCGCAGGATGTTCAATACAATAATTTTTAATATATCTTCATATTATTAAAATTTCATATTATTGCAGAAGTCTAAGATGTCAAGCAAACAATTATGCATGCAGTATATAAAACATAATGAGCCTTTAGTTCAGTCAAATTAGATCATAATCCCTGAAAATATCAAAAAATTATCATTAATAGGCATTTTATTACATTATATGACGACGAAGAGTATGTAGAATCATAAGATCAAAAAAACTAACTCGAAGAAGTGCTGCTAAGTTGGCAAATTGCAAATAAGTGTCAAAATTACGTGTTCTTTACTTTCGGTTACTGCACATGAAAATCTAGTCTATTGGAACATTTTTATGTTGTAGGCAACTAAATTACCTACAATTTAAGTCTTAAGTTTAAGTACCTCAAGTCATATTTCACCAATTTGTTAACTGTGAAATAAAGATCGAATGCGGAAAAATCAGTTTTCTAAAATTTATCGAAAAGGGGGTCAATCCAATGACCAACATGCGTGCCAAACGCCAAATGAATTTACCGTGAAATTGTTACTCCAGGTATTTGTTAATTAATTTCAATTTTTTTGCAACTAATTGTATAATTACTAAAAGTTAATTTTAAAATTCGCCCTTTTTGCATTAAATTGAGCTTATTTTTACGGTATCAACATTCATCGCGTTTTGCAATAATAATGCGCAATTTTGTAGGTAATTTACTTTCCTACAGCATAAAATATCTAATTTTCCAATATGTTGTCTAGATTTTCATGGGCTGTAAAAGAAGTGAAAAAAAAACACGTAATATTGCCCGTTATTTGCAATTTGCAAATTTACTATCACTTCTTTCGAGTTAGTTTTTTGATATTATCAATTTACATACTCTTCACCATTATAAAATGTTTCCTAATAATTTTTTTTAATTTCAAACTGTACCTAATTCGATTGGACTAGTAGCGGAACTAAATAAATCCCAAGTTTTGAAAATCCCTCTAAATTACTTCTGATTACAATGTGAATATATGTTATTTTTATACATACACAAAAGTAGTTGTAAAAAAGTCTATAACAGAAATCTAACGGAACACACACACTGCTTTTAATAAATGGCTATTGCAAAAAAGCCAAGCCTTTTTACTAGACTTTTTCCAACTCATTTATTGATTATCCGGTTTACTAAGGAGACGACTTAATTGGGATAAATATGTTGTCAATTAAATACCTTGTTTGTATTTGGACAAATAAAGACATTTTTGGAGTTATAAAGTTATTCAAGCATTTGTTTAATTGAAAATACTAAATACTTTACGAGAAAATAATTTAAAAATAATAATAATACAATGTAATTCAAATTATTTAATTGGATTTATTAATTAAAGTATATTTAATTGATGTACACCTCTGTTTGTCATTCAAAAAGCTTTTATTTATTTCTTGTTTTTTTTTTATTGAAAAATATTTTGTGGGAGGAAAAGTATATAAATAGTTAATCAGGCAATTACCTACATTGTAAGTAAGATTTTCCGAACCTCATATTTAAAATGCGATGAATTTTTTGGTGGTTATGCCGTCGCCTGTGTACTTGCTCATCGCCAGTTACAGAATTAGCTTTCACTTCCTTAGCCATAGCTAGGAAGCTTTAGCCTGCTCTTGTTGTTCTCTGGCTAGGCTCTGTGAGGGCAAACCAGCTATTAGAGTCCCTAGATCTGCCCCAATGTTCATTTCGGTTCTTATTGAGTTCCTCAGTCGCGGCT